TCCGCGAATAGCTAAGCACTTTTATCGCTTTCTGGCCGCACGGTTCGGCAACAGGAGTTTTGTCTGTCTAACAAGTGCTCAACTCTCTCCATCGAGTAAGATGAAGTGAAGTTATCCATTATAGACATAGGCGCGTATATTATAAAAATATACGACAGATTAATATTTGGTGAAGTCGGGCACACCAGTTGACGACGTCGATTGACGGTGTCATAAAGCATCCCACCCTTCAACCACACAAAACAAAAAAAACTAACAATTAGACTTACTTAAATAATTTCACCTTCATATTTATTTAATTCAATATTCCGACCTTAAACTAAAGTCATTTTCAGGATACAGACAATTATATATTAATAAAATATATTAAAATGTATATTTTAAATTTTATTATATTGATAAAATATTATAATTTTATATTATACATAAAAAATTTTTTTTTTAAATAAAATTTAAAAATTATTATAAAGTATTAAATATAATTTATCTTGAAGCTATTTGAGCCAGTGCACTTGAGCACTTTGACTCTTTCTTAACTTGAGGTTAAGAGACTGTTTGTTTTTAGAGACTTAGCAAGGAATCCTAAACCTATTTATTTATGTACCTATAATACTTTTATACAGCTGGGCGCAGTTGTAAATATAAGTTTCACCATTGAACCTATTAATTTATATATTATAAATAAAATTTCGTTTGAAGACTTAATTTACAGGTTCTCAAACTTTATTTCCAAAATAAGAACTTAGTAAGGAATTCTTTCTAATTTTTATGTTTAACAAAATCGTCAGTCTGAGTTTACTTTCAAAATATTTCGCAGTATAATTAGTCCCTTGAGCGACACGGCATTTCTTAAAATGTGTGGTTTCTGGGGAAGTACTTGAAATCGTTGGTTCATGCGGACAAATCTGCATCAATTTCAATCTTCTCAAGTTACAAAATCGAATGGCTAAATGCGTCTTAAAAAATTTTATTTCCAGGATATGGTGCGCAGATTCTTCTGTGGCGGATATATGACTGAAACTATTTTTTTTCCAAAATTGCAATTTACAATTCATTGCATTGTTTATAGTTAATTGAATTCTTTATAATTATAATATAATAATCCTTTAATTCACAGTTTTTATTTCTATTACTCTTAATATATTTTTATATATTAAAATTAAAATATCTAAATATTTCTAAAACCAACTTCATAAACTGTGTGTAATTAATCTGAATTAAATAATTAATTATAATCTCAATTTTGGCAAGCATTTCCTTCTTTTTCGAAACACAAGTCCGGCTTACCATCTGGTTGCATATTTTCAGTCTAAATTAGAATAATCTCAAACTTAATTTAAAATATTAACTCACTTAAATAAGGATAATGCAACTTAATGTTTATTTATTATTTGGACCACTTTTCTGAAATTTTTTTCCAACATTTGTGCTTCTGCCAGTGATCTTAGCGTCATCAGTGCAACCAACCTTGGCAGCAACACAACAAAACTCAATACTATAAACAACTCACATAATTATTTTAAGGATTCAAGAAAATAAACATTTTTTTTTTTAAATTTTATTTCATAATACTATCTTCCTTTTTGCGTGTTTTGGAACTTTAACTTAGTTTTATTTGCTCATACATAAACGTATTAAAGTTATCCAACAGTTTCAGAGCAACTACAGCAATTGTTGTTGTAGACTATTAAAATAATTTAACCTTTCAGAAAGTTTTCCTATGTGCGGGTATGCTTAAACGAAACTTCAAATTTTACTATGTCATAGAACCACTACTCTTTCAGGCATTCCCGTCTGTGGCAACATACTGCATCGTTGCATGCATGCAGTTCTGTTGCATGTAGCACCAAATTTGGGTCTTAGCAATACAAATGCTATAAAATTTAGTATTATTTGAAGCATACCTGAGTTGGCATTCTTTAAGTTTACACATAAATAGAATAAATCGTAATAATTTTGGCTTAAACTTTAACTGGAGACCAAATTTTTATTCCAAAACTGTTAGCAGTTGCGCCAGATAACCTCATATGGAATATATGCTAAGCGTTAATAAATTGATAACAAATTACTTTGTTGACAATTTTTTTTATTATAAATTATTTTCATTGGTATAATGAAACTTAATTATTATTTATTTACTGTTTTTTATTTAATTATTGTTTTTTTTACAGTTTATAAAAATAGATGGTTACAGGCTCCTCGGGGAGTTATGCAAATCTGAGGTCAATTATTGCTTAGTCTGATCAAGTGATAAACAATAATCCAGTCAAGGAGTGAAGAGGGGTTTTAAAAATACTTCGAGTTAAGAAAGAGTAAAAGTGCTCAAGTGCACTGGCTCAAATAGAAATAAATAAATAATAGATGCTTTAGACAGCAAGCAAAATTTTTATATATATAGTACTTTTCATAGTATTTGATTGAAGAAGAAAAGTACCTAAGTAGGTCTTTTTAGCAGGTCTTATACAAAAATAGCGGCTGTTAAGAAAAAAACATTTTGTTTTAGCAAAAGACTGATCTTCTTAGAATATGTGTCAAAATTTGGTACTAACATATTACAACCATCAGTACATTGTGACCGAAAAGTTTCCTTTGCGTTTTAAATAAAACGCAAAATTCTTAATCTTCATCAATATTTATTTTATCTCCTTCAAAATATGCTCCATTAGAAGCGATACACAAATGCCAACGTTTCTTCCAATCATCAAAACATTTTTTATAGGCGCTTTCCGGTATGGCTTTGAGTTCCCTCTGCGAATTCTGTTTTACGTCTTATTATGGATTCAAAACGCGTTCCTCTGA